CTCCTAAATCACTCGTACGCACAACTTAAGAACAAATCTGTGCGTACTAACGGTTCTTGCATGAGGCCCAATGGATGGAAAATGATTATAAGAGAACAAAGTGTCAGCATGTTCATGTTATAGATTTATATTCATTTTTAAGGTTTGAATAAAATCTGTCCACTGGGTCATGAGATGTTTTGCTAACAAACCCATGCAAACAGACACAGAGGCAATTACATATAAATATCACAAGATGTAAAACTGTGAAAACAAGCCAACCGTGTGTTTAAAGAGTTTAAAAACATCTGTTGTAACATGTCATCATATCACGAACAGGAAACAAGCTGCTCTCTGTAGCTACAGATCTGAGTTTGTTGCTTTGTTTGTTTGTTTGTTTGTTTGTTTGTTTGTGTTAAAACGTGACACACTCCGGCGCTTGCTTTACTGAAAACACGTTACGGCGCTTCTTCTTTTGGCAAGCTTTCCAAGAGCAGAGCTGGGTCTGTTGAAAGCGTGTATGATGTCACATCTGAGGACAGTTTGAGCTCAAAGCTGCAGTGTGAACACGCCCACACTGAGAGAAAACCCATCCCTGCAGACTCCATCAAACATGCACCAGCTTTAAAGTCTGGGACACAAACTTTACTGCGTGTTTATTAAAGAAGTTCAGCTCTAATCTAAATGAAAACACACTTCAGGAGTTTCAGAATCACTTAAACACCATATTTAGTGAAAAACAGTCACTTTACCTTCATGTTGCATCACTTCCTCTTCTTCTAACACTGTTAATGTCTGAAGAACGACTCTGTTACATAGTGACAGGTTTTCAGTCTGAAAAAATAAAAACAGTTTCTCAAACATTCCAGGTTCTGTGGTTTCATAAAGCTCAGCGTGTCTGCAGGTCTGAACCACCAGCTGGTCACTTTAACAGATTCTCCAGCCAAACTAGTGCAAATCTCCTAAAATGTGTTGAAATAAATGAATTTTTCATTAAAACTAAAAACAAGTCTCAATGGCAGAAAATGTTGCTATAAAACTTGATGAAGCCTTCATATGAATCCAAAGCTTAAAATGCTTCCTAAACTCATCACAGGCGTCATGTATGAACGAGTGCAGCTTTAGTTGACACACAAACAAAATTCAAAAAGTGCACACCCATGTTTCTGCACACCACATCCCAGTGTCAAATATAACGTGTTCAGTTACTCAGATGAGTGTAAAGGACAAGGCAACAAATGCAGAATTAAGACTTGAATTTTAATGCAAGAACTGAAGCCATGCAGACTAACCATTGGCTAATAGCGTCAGCCATTTGATCAGTTTTGTATGAGAGGCCCTTTAGGCCAGAGATTCTTAACCTATGGGCCGCGGCCCGAGCGCCACCTTGAGGGCCTCAAAAGAACAACAGTTTTTAACTTTGGGCCGCAGAAGTAAAAGTAGAAACAAAAATGAAGGTAACCCATCAAAAAAGGCCAAAGTTTGTCACTAATATGAAGAGCAGCCTCTGGTTCTACCATGCAATATTTTAAAAGTTCTAACAAATACAGTTGCAGATACAACTATATTTTATTTCGCACTTTATCAAATTAATTTTTGTAATTTGTTTTTAAGCATTTTGTCCAAAGCTTTTTTTACTGTTGTTGTTTGTCACTAGTATGAAAAGCAGCTTCTGGTTCTACCATGCAAACGTTTAAAAAGGCTTTATTTTCATTTGACCTTTATCAAATTTATTTTTGGAACATTTACATTAAATATTTTTGAATGTATTTATTTTATGATCACAATTTTATTTATTGAATTATCTATTTTGTTGTTGTTTAGGTTAAAAATTATTTTTGTCTGTGATGGACTTGCGACCTGTCCAGGGTGTACCCTGCCCCTCGCACTGTGACTGCT